GAATATACCACAGCTTCTCTATCCATTCGTTTGTTGATGGACGTTTAGGTTGTTTCCAACTCTTTGCTATTGTGAACAAAGCCGCGATAACACAGGTGTGCAACACTACTCTTTCTTGTGATAATGTTCAACCACAAGTGGCTTTTCTCGACTACCCAAGGTTCACCTCCTAGAACTCTGTGTGAGAGGATGCAGAAACACCCTGGAATCAGTGAGGGAGCCTTTCCAGGGCTCTAAATATCACCTGAATGCATCTTGAGAGGGTATTTGGAAAGTGTGGGATCCTTTTTTAGCTTTTCACGATGGCTAGAGAAAACAGGATACTTAAGAGCCTATAGAATTTGCACAATATAGTTACGCTGTTCTAAATCCCCAACTGGGCTATATGTGAGCAGAGAGTCCTTTAGGAGTTCAGTTGAAACAGCCTAAAACTGTGATGTTGGACGATTTGAGGGTGAACAAGGAAAGAGAAGGAAGAAAGGCCACTTCAGCATGAAATGGTTTCTTTTGTTCCAGGTTAGTAGGCAATGATAGCCAGATGTTACGTCACATAGGTTAATTTCATGTTTGTTTGTTTTTTCAGAGAAGGCATGATCATGAAACGATCTGGGGGACATAGGATCCCAGGCTTGAACTGCTGTGGTCAAGGAAGGGCCTGCTACCGTTGGTCAAAAAGGTAGGACTTAGGAGTTCTGTGAATTTGTATCAGTTGATAATTTGAGAGGGTATTTCCCCCTCTATTGGTTTTAAGATATTGAACAATTATAAATGCTATTATAACTATTAAATTAAAAGAAAAATTGCTTTGGGAAGGTCTGCTGTCAGAGATCCCTCCAAAAGAGCAATGATGTCAACCTGGAGACTAAGGTGCACCTGATACAGGCCATGGTCTTTGCAATTACTTGCTATACATCAGAGAGCTGGACAATGACTAGGAATGATAGAAGGAGAGTTGATTCCTTTTGAGTGTTGGTGCTGGAGGAAAGTATTGAATGTACCATGGACTGCTAGGAGAACAAACAAGTTCATCCTGGAGAGGATGAAGGCAGGCTGCTTCTTGGAGGCAAGGATTCTGAAGCTTTGTCTGACATACTTTGAACTTGTAAGGAGGGCCCAGTCCTTGGAGAAGGATGTCCTGCTTGGGAGATTGGAGGGATAGTGCAGGATTGATTTAGTGACTGGGATAATGGGGGTAGGTGTTTTAGGGACAATAAGATTGGCAAGGGATAGAGCAGGGTTTAGGGCTATTGTACATAGGGTCGCTCTGAGTCGCAGGCAACTCTACGACACATAACAACAACAACAATAACCATGAAATAGTAAATTTCAGTTATATTTCCAAGTTCCTCATTTCATCATTCATACAAATATCCTACATAAACTAGACAATAGGTTGAGTGTGCAGACTCCATCGTTGTTGGTCCCAGGTGCCACTGGGTTGACACTGACTCACAATGACCCTGTGAACCACAGATCCGAACCTCGTCCTGGTCTCCGTCCATCTCACCGTCTGCTAGGCTCCAGCTCACTGTTTCAGTCAGCGTCCATCTATCTTGGTGAGCGTCTTCCTCTCCTTCTTAGATGTTCCACCTTCCCAAGCATGATGTATTTTTCCAGGATTGGTCCCTCCTGACGGCTTGCCCAAAGAAGTATATGAGATGAAGGTTATCAGCCTTGCCTCGAAGGAGCATCTTGATTCCACTTCCTCCAAGACCTGGTTCTTTCATCGTTCCGTGGGCTAGCCAGGCCTCCTCTCTAGCACCACAATTCAAAGGCATCAATGCTTCTTCTGTCGTCCTTATTCATTGTCCCACTTTCAGATGGAAGCAGTTGAAAATATAGCTACCTACATAAAAATCTGGTGATCTGTAGGACAAAAAAATTGACCAATCAAAATAGATCCACAGATAGTCAAATAAGCACATCAGAAGATGATTCATTATCCGTCATTGCACTGTGGAGTCAGAACCAAGTCAGAGCTGACCCACCAGTGAATTCAGAGGCAGTAAATGAGACAGGAAGAGATTGCTCAGCCTTCTCCTACAGAGCAGCTGGTGGATTCGAACCATGTGCCTTTGGGTTGGTAGCCGAAACCCTTAACCAGTAGGCCACCAGAGCTCCCTCATTAGCCATCAGGGAAATGCATAGAATTAAGAAAGGGGGGGGGGAAGAAGCACTAGAAAAAAAAAATGCAACTTTGAAAGAAACTCTTGCAACGTGTTGAAAAACTCCTCTAAATTTGAGGTGTATCAGAAGAAATTCAGATCCCACTTGAAGAATCTTGGAATTTCCCTTCTCTTCCTTGGACAGAACCCCGGGGAAGAGTCAGGCCCAAAGACAAGCAAGGGGAGGAACAAATCTTCGAAGGAGCAATAAAGAAAGTGAGAGTGAGAGACATGAGTTCTGGAAAAGGTGACTTTAGCTCAGGGAGCCACTCGTGGCCCCATAGAGAAGCTGAAGTTTGACATCTAAGGTTCGCAGTCACATGGCAGTCAGAAAAGATGTGAGAGGACCTTAAAAAGGAGAGACGCAGCCCTTTTGTTTCAACTTTGGTTTTAAATTGTGCTCCAACTGGACTGTCTAAAAGATACAATCTTCTCTGTGAAAAGATAGGTGTTCTTTGAAATTGTGTAAAATTTCCCATGATTCCATATTAATAAATGTTACTTATCGAGTAACCTTTATGGGATTTAAAATCGTGGGGTCAAATAAGGATGATGAAGAAGAAGACAGAGTTTAGACATTGTCTCACTGTCGAAGAGAATGCCGGAATGGAAGTTAGCTGAGAAAGTGACAATTGTTCATAATACTGCCTGGTTCTTTGTACCCACACAAACCAATTTGATTGCTTTATTCTGTGTTGACAAATCAAAGGAAGACAACAAGTAAGCTTTCAACCACGTTTCCTAATGACCTTGTCTCAGAGATAAGTTAGGAAGAAAAAAATAAACATCCAAGAAAGCACATCAGACATTTCTTTCCACAATTTAAAGTGCCTTAAAAGCTTGTTAGCAATTTACAAGTCCCGACAATTGATGGGTATAGGGATAAAGTTGTGCTGCCAACCCGCTGGCGCCTGGTTCGAACCTGCCAGCTGTTCCTAGAAGAAAGATAGGCAATGTCCTCCCATGTGATTAGCTGCCTCTGGAAACCCGCTGGAGTATCAGCTGTGAGTCTGTCCCAACTTGACGGTGCATAACAAAAATAACAACAGAAAAAGAAAGGTAAAAAAGAGTAGGAGGAAATGAATGTGGGACTAATTACCTCCGAGAACAGCCTCCTTTGTTTTCTGTAAGACCATAGCAACTAACTGGATATACTATTACTGATCTAACTGGAAGTAATTATTACTGGCTAATATTAATGAACTTTTTAAAAAAATGCCTATGGAAGAATTCCGACTAAAAAAGAAGACTACATAAAACAGATTTTTCATTTTATCTTAGAATCCTGATTTCTGGAACCTGAGATGAGCTTTAAAATTTAAACAGCGATCTCCCTGAAAACCAAACAATGGTCCAACTTAATTGGTTAAAAAAAATATATGTTCCTTGGGCATTGGACTCTTTTAAGAACTGTTTATGGACTCAAACTGACAAGAGCAATTTGGAAGATGTGACAGAACCATAGGAGGCAGTGAGCTTATTATGTTAGTGGAGGAAGGACTCAGAAAAAGAGGGTGAGTTTGTACAACTCAGAGAATGTGAGCAGTGTCCCTGATAAGGGTCATATATATAAAAAAAAACCCAAAAACTGTTGGTGTTTTTTGTGCTGTGTATATTCTCAATAACAACAAAATAAATTCATTAAAAGCAACAACCAAAACATATCTTCATAAATGGTACATTTATTGAGCAATTTCTCTACACCTGGCTAGCATTTTTTTTCTGTAGCACTGGTTTTTTTCTCCCAAATAATGAGCCCTTGAAAAAGAAATTTATTTATTTCCTCCTGCCTGCCTGCCTGCCTGCCTTCCTTCCTCTTTCTCTCTTTCCTTCCTTCTTCCCTCCCTCCCTCCTTCCTTTCTTCCTTCCTCTTTCTCTCCTTCCTTCCATCATCTATCTATCTATCCCTATATCTGTATGTACTATATCTGTCCTTATTTATCTCTATGTCTATTAACTACCTACCTATTTCTTTCTTTCTTCCTTCCCTCCTTCCTTTCTCTCTCCCTTCCTTCCTTCTTTTCTTTCCTTTTCTCTTCTTTTCTTTATCTATTTATCTATTCATCTATCATCTATCTAACCCTATGTCTATATCTACTATATCTTTTATTTATTACTCTCTATTATTTCTCTCTGTGTCTATAGCTATCTGTTTACTACCTACGTACCTCTCTATAACGTTCACTTTCATGAGCAATGGGCCATACCAAAAATTAATATTTTGTACAATGAAAAGACTTAAATTTTTTACTTAATCCCAGAATTCATTCATGCAGTCAATAATTAACCCGATTTCTCTGTGTGAAGACTTGCTCTGTGTTGTCTGAGAATTATTCTGGGCGCTGAACAGATAGTGACGGGTCTGTGAGAGACGTTCCCCTGCTCTCGTAACAGTAACAACAACCTGGATCTGACTTTCCAGAGGAAAACAAACCAAAAAATCATTTCAAATGGGGGGAAAAGTGCTCTGAAGAAGGTAAAGTTAGGTAGCGTGATTGAGCGCAGCCAGGGAAAAAAAACCAACATAGGATAGTCAGAAATGACCTTGCTTTCCCTGGCAGTGAATTAAAGAGAGAATAAAATAGAGATTTGATTGGTAAGAAAGGCCCTTCTATGTGAGGACCTGGAACAGCATTTTTCTAGGCAGAACAGCAAATTAAGAGGCTGAAAGAAGACCAGGCTTGGCAAAATTGAGACACAGCCAGAGCGGCTTGTTCCGAGAGTGGCGGGTGACGAGACTGAGCAGGAGAGGTCGGTTTATGTACGCTTTCTCAACCAGGTGGGGAGTTTGGATTTATTCCAAATGACAGGCACTAGAGGTTTATAGCAGTGCAAATATGAACTCCTTCATTTGCTCTGGGAAAAAAAGGACAAAGGGAGAAACAAGGAAATCAGATAAGAACCTCCCGGAGCTGGCGGACAAGAGGAGATAGAGCTGGTCTAGTAACGTGACAGCTTGTGTGATGGTTTAAAAGTATAAAAGTGAACACATCTCTCTTAGTTATTGGACATGGAGCAGGAGGGAAAGAGTGGAATGTAGGATGATGACTTCTGGGTTGGAATCTATGAAATTGAGTGTTGCTTGTGGCCTTTACTGAAATGGGAAAACGATTCAAGGGCAGGATGACTGAGTGGGAATCAAAGTTCTGTCTTGTAGAGTGCTCATTTCTCATGGAATCCAGACTTTTTAGGGCGATGGAAGCTGAATGAACCTCTGAGACAGTGGCCCTGAGATAATCTTGAAGCATTCAACACAAAAACATCCCCTAAAGTCTTCTTTAAAGCTAACAATAGGTTAGCTTTTAAAGAAAAGAATTTTCATCTTCAACATCACATTCTGGAAGAATTCTTTATATGGAATCAAATTGACAACAGTGACTTGAGAGCTCAGACTGGAACTTTAAAAGATAGTTCCCAGTTAATGGAGGATGAACAGTTCTAAAAAGGAGGACAGAAATGATTGTATCATTTAAAGTATGCAATCATTATCAATACATCGTACATCTAGAAA